TTAAAAAAGAGAAATATCCAGTAAAAAAATAAAATAAAAAAGAATCTGAGGGCACGAGCTGGTAGCTGCATGTCCCAGGATTAGTGCTAGCGGAACAATTTGAACATGAAGAGGGGATGGAGACTTAGGTCTGAAGAACTGTCTCTGAGACTGAAAAGAAAAAAAAAGGATGACACGAGCTTGGGTGAAAGAGGAGGCTTTCTGCTCTCGTATAGAGTTTGAGTCTCGGAAGCCCACAGCCACAGTTCTCTCTTGTCCTGCAGGGTGGCTATGAGTCAAAAGTGACTCGATGGCAGTGAACTTGGTTTTTCAGTTCAAGGTTGAGTGGTAAGCAAAACAAGCAAGCAAGGAGTTGTGGGACTTCTCAAGGTTTACATCTAACTTCCCTGTGATGAGGGGGGAAAAAATCAGTCCTATAGACAGTCTAGGGTGTCCAGGTTTTCTGTACAGTGTCACTGCCGAATGAATATTATGTGATAGACTCTGGTGAGCAGCCACAGCTGGGCTAGATGTACTGTGTAGGAAGTCTGTCACTCCTGACTCGTCTCTTTCCCTGGCAGATACCGTGTTTTCCCGAGTGGAGGAAGAACACCTCTGGGAGTGTAAGCAGCTGGGAGTCTACTCCCCCTTTGTCCTTCTCAATACCCTCATGTTCTTCAACACAAAGTTTTTTGGCCTGCAAACAGCCGAGGAACACATGCAGCTCTCTTTTACTAACGTGGTCCGGCAGTCACGCAAGTGTACTACCCCCAGAGGTACCACCAAGGTGGTGAGCATCCGATACTACGCTCCAGTCCGCCAGAGGAAAGGGCGAGGTAGGAGACCGCCCCACTTGCCTTTACTTTTTGCCCTTCTCTGGTTGTCCCTTGATGCTCCCACTGCAACTTCCTGGTTGGTCCATAACTTCCTCTGCCACTCATTTCCCCATCCCTCTGTTCCTGTGTTTGTAAACATGATAGAAATGCCCAGCCCTTTGATTTAATTGGGGGGCTGCTTGTGTTAATTTTCAAAGGCCTGCTTTCCTCCTCTCTTTTCCAGACAACTTACTTGCTTGACTATTTTTGTTTTAAAATTTAAGATGGTGAATAGGTAGGAAGCTGTTGAGTGGGTCTGGCTGTAGGGGATTGCTGACAGATGATAGGCTTTCCGTAGTTCTTTGCTGTTTGAACAAGACTTGTAACTTTGTTTTCTCTCTGTGTGCCTCTGGAATCCTTGTCCTCTCTGTGTTCAGCTCCCAAGGTCCCTTCAGTGGAGCTAAGCCTTTCCCTCAACTGCTGTGCAGAGGGCTGGGGTCATACTGATCCTCTGTCCCAGCAAGGAATCCCAGCTTTGTTCCATTGGGTTTGTTTTGTCAATTGGTCTAAGATCTGCGATCAGCTCTTCAGGAAATCAACACAAGGGGAACTTAACAGAGATATTAACAGCCAGAACCAGGAAGGGTTGTAGAACAACACGCCTGTGAGATGTTTGATTGGCGTGAAGGCGAGGGCTAACTTCATCTTCAGCCTAAATTTCTTTATGAGACTGTTTGTGTCCTAAGGGCCACTCCCCCCGCCCCCGTCCTGGACTGAGCTCTTGGAGGTGGCTCCTTGAGACTCTGCTCTTCTGAGTGTGGGGGTCACTTGCCTCCACTACAGACACCGGTCCTGGAAAACGGAAGAGAGAAGATGAAGCCCCTGTCTTAGAGCAGCGTGAGAACCGCATGAATCCCCTTCGCTGTCCTGTCAAGTTCTATGAATTCTATCTCTCAAAATGGTGAGTTGGCGGGTTCGCAGGAAGGTTGTTAGCATGGGAATCAAAGGATCTACTTTGCCTTGTACTGATCTTTTGTCCTGCCACCCTCAACCCCACCCCCCAACATTGCAGTCCTGAAAGCCTCCGGACTCGTAACGATGTATTCTACCTGCAACCCGAGCGGTCCTGCATCGCCGAATCACCTCTCTGGTATTCTGTGATCCCCATGGACCGTAGCATGCTGGAGAGCATGCTCAATCGCATTCTGGCTGTACGTGAGATTTATGAGGAGTTGGGTCGTTCTGGGGAGGAAGACCTGGACTGAACCCATGTGCCATCCATATCCACCTTTCATACCAATGTTTGTCCTGTGGCCAAATCCCTGAAGGTGATTGGCCCAGGAGCCAATGCTACTCATTCTGAAGGGCTCTGACTGCCCGTTTCTACTCACCCATTCCCTGCCTTTCCTAGAAGCCCCTAGCTTTTACATACCACTGGACGACCACAGGGCATCAGCCTTCTGTATTCAGGGACTTGTTTCCCAGTGATGGGCAGAAACAAACAAACAAACCAAGCTCATGCGGTTTCTTTATGTTCGGAGTAAATGACTTCTCCTTGGGCCAGACTCTGAGTAGAGTGTTACTAGCTCTGGTGATCCTGTTGGCTTTGGGTTTCCTCACTCAGCCCTTGTAAGTCAAGCCCCTGGTTCCTAGGTTTGGCCCAGGGAAGAACCCAGCTGCTTTCTTTGCCCTGTGCCCATTGCCTTCTCCGTTCTTCTCCAGTATCACATAAAGGGTCTTGTATGAAAGAAACCCTGAAAGTAATGAGGGGACCATTTACCTAAAGCACAGGGCTTAGACACTTTTCCCTTCCCATGATGGGAACCCTCTCACCACCTTATAACACACCTCATCCCCCACCCCCACCCTGCTGCTCCCAAGCACCAACCCTTGGTGCTGCGAATGATTCAAAGAACAAAGACTTCTAACTGGCTTCCCCACCCCCTCCCCCCAACTGGCATTTCCCCCCTCAAAGGCAGAGAATGAAACTCTTAAGTATAGGGAGCAGCCTTCTGGCCCCCTTTATCTGTTTCTTTATTTTTTCCTGCCATCTTAGGTTGGCATGAGCCATGATGTCAACATGTGTAGCCCCTTTTATAACTGCCTCCTTTTAAGTTCAATGGACAGAGATTCCAAGGCAAAAAAGAAACAAAGAAAAGATTCGGACTTAGGCTGGGGCTGGGTTCCGTGCTCTTGCTGTCTACCATCATAAGAGCCAGGCCACGCCTTTGGGGACCCAGGTCCTACAGGATGGGCTCTGTGGTCAATGAATTGGTGAGGAGCTGTGGACATGGGTCCTGCCTTCATTGCCTACATCATCCCTCTTTCCCATCTTTCCTTTGTAGCAAATTATCAGTGTCCAGTAAAGGGGGCACCTGGTTCTTTCCCTGTCAGCTTTGCTGTTCCTCGGCCTTCTTTTTTTGTGTTTTTATAACTGTTATCAGTTTAGCCACTGTTTAAATTGTATATATTGTTCTGAGGCACCTGGCCTATCCCTTCAGTGAGCCATGTCTACCCTTGTGTTATAGTGAAAAGCTGTTGTCAGGACTAATCTTCTGTCTATGGAATTGTTTGTTTCAAATAAAGAGTTAAAATGGTCTTTTACTTTCTCTGGGGGAAGGAAAGTGGGGTTGGGAGCCGGGAGGGATATAGAGGAGCAATCCTGGATAATTTCAAATCTCTCAAGGTGTCATAAAGAGGGTCATGTCCTATCCCAGTTTAAGGCTCATTTTTGCTGATAAATACCTCTCTGAATGAATCCAGCAGGAAGATGATTTTTAAGATAGTTTTCTAAACACTTAAGAAAAAAGTTATCCAATGGCCATCTATGAAGGACCTACTGGGCTTGAGGCTCTGGATCACATGCCTTAGAAAAACAAGAACAAAGCGAAGATTGATTACACCAGGGCCCTATCCCCAGCAAGCTCCCGTGCTATGTGGGAGCTAGACCAGGACATAGTCATACAAGCACTCATTCACTGCCATCGAGAGTGAAATGAACTCATGGGACAGCAGAGATGGGAGAAACTAGTTTCGAGTATATGGGGAAATTGAATGAGGCGTCACTGTGGAAGGTGGCATTGGACCTGTGCCTCACGTCAGCACCATCAATGGCCAAGGGACAGGGAAGTGCAAAGCTAAGGATTTCCAAGCAGGGTGTGACAGGGTCAGATCGGTTATGGAGGGTGAGAATACCTAGACCGATAGAAAAGGGGATGGGGGCAGATCTGAAGACAGGGAGATCCGTGGAAGGAGTGTGGCTAAAACTCGTTGCGCTTTAATGGGGCTGAGGGGACAGGGATAGATTTAAAACAAAATGCCAGACATTTAAAAATATATACATATGGAAAAAATAATCTATAACTTATCAAGGGTTCGTGAGGAAGGGCTGGAGGGGGAGGGAGTGGGAAGAAATGGGGAACTAATATCAGGGACTCAGGTGGGAAGAAAATGCTGATGGTGACACATATGCAAATGTGCTGGACACCTTGGATGAATGTATGGATTGTGATAAGAGATGTACGAGCCCCCAACAAAAGTAATAATAATAAAAAACCTCGGGCAGTTCTACTCTGCCACCGATGGAGTCTCCAGGAATAAGAATAATCATCTAATGACAACTTCTTTCATTTGGAATTTGGTCCATAGATGCAATTGGTGGGTTCTCTCTTAGATAAGTGGAATTTGGAAAATGAAATTATTTTTGCTCATATTTAGCTATGGTCTTAGAATTCAGGTTATTGACACCAGTATGGGCCCTGCTGAATAGTGATGATTAAATGCTTTCTATTACAATGGCTGTTGAGCTAAAATTTCTGAATGAAGCGAGTTATTCTCAAGAGAGATTTTATTACCCAAAAGTCAGATATTTAATATATTTCTTATAGTTCTTGATGCTTTCTATCCAACTATACCCCTATATTGTAGAAATTTTATATCCTTTGGCTTTAACTATTCTGAAATTTATTGTTAGGATACAAACTATGGAAGTATGTAATTTTCCTTGTGTCAATTAATTTTGGCTTATTATTCTTTCACCAGTTTATGTGATGGGCAAAATATTTTACAAGTGAAGGTAAAACAATGAAGAAAGAAAAAGGTATACAATCCTCAAAAAAAAAAAAAGTACAGCAGGTGATGAAGGATTGGAACTGGAGGTTTAGGGAGAGGGAAGAATGAAGGATGATTCTGAATTTTCGAACCAAGATGGGAAACAGAGGGTTTTTTGTTTGTTTGCTAGACTGGGCTGGGGTCTGATAATTAGTTCAAATTTGACCCTGCTGCCTTTTGAGACACCCATGCAGTAGGCCTTGAAACATGGCATAGTAGAAAGAACACCCAAACTTGAGTTTTTAATCATAGCTCTGCTACTAAAACTAGCAAGCCTACTTTTTGGAGCCTCACCTCGAAAGTGGTTTCAGATTCTCATGGCATTGTTGGGCAGGTCAGATTAGAAAGTGAACATGAAAGAGCAATGTTGATGCTAGATGTTATACTATATAGGCTACTGTTCGTTGTTGAGTTTATTTTGACTCCATGTGTACAGAGTGGGACTAGTCCACAGGCTTTTCTAGGTTGTGAGCTTTTACAAGCTGATGGCCAGTCTTGTCGTCAGAGGCACCTCGATGGGTTCAAATGACCAATCTTTCAGCCAGTAGTTGAACACTTAACTATTTGTGCCATCCAGGGACCCCATATAGACTAAAAAAAGAAAGACCCCCAAGCCCAAACTCACTTCCAATCAAGTCGATTCCAACTCATAGTGGCCCTATAGGACGGGATAGAGCTGCCTGTGTGGGTTTCCAAGACTAACTCTTTCTGGGGGTAGAAAGCCTTGCCTTTCTGCTGAGGAGAAGCTGGTGGTTTTGTATTGCTGACTTTGTGGTCAGCAGCCCACTAGGCCACCAGAGCGCCCTTTCCACTCCAAAGAACTCCAAACTCACTACGATCGAGTTGATTCCAATTCATAGCGACCCTAATATTTGGAGTTGAGACTTAGAAGGGAGAAGAGGTGTCCACTTAGACATCTTCAAATGGCTTTGAGCTGGAGCTCTGGAAATGTCTCATTATTCCAAGGGAGGCTAGTTACAAGGAGACAGTATGGTGCAGAAATGGTTACGTGCTTCACCTTTGGCAGATGTGAAATCCAATCCCCTCATCCAAGCTCCTTATTTTCTTGTTATGCAGCTAGGGCAAGTTACTTAACCTCTCTAGGTCTCAGTTTCCTCGAGGACCTGTAAAATGAGGACAGTAGTGATGCTTTTACATCAAAGATAATGATTAAGTAAGAGCTAACCTTAAGTGCTAGACCAGACACCTAATGTTAGCTCTTATTGTTGACATTCATTATCAGTCAGGAGGCCCAAGGTAAGGCAACAGCAACAATAGGAATGCTGAGGAGGAGAAGGATATGAGAAAGATTTGAATAGCAGAATTACCAGGCTTTTTTGTTAACTGATTATATTTGCGTGTGAGTGGGTTTTAATTCTCCAAGTTATCGTCATTTGAAGACCTTTATCTCATTGAATAAGGAAAGTCTTTGTCCCTTGTTCAAAGAATTTCAGGCAAGGAAGAAGGGAAGCAAGAGGAGGAGCTAAAAAGAAAGAGAGTGGAGTGTTAAAGGGAATACTATAATCACCGTGGTGTTTCAATAGCTTATCTTGCCTGAGACCAGGACAACTAGATGGTGCCTGGGATCGTAATAGAAGGTCCTGACAGAGTAGATGAAAACTACAGAACAAAAATCAAAATCCTACCAGATTCACTGGTCTGATAGAGACTGGTGGAACCCCTGAGACCATGACTCCTAGGCATTCTTCAAACCTGGAACTGGACACCCTCCAGGAGATCACCTTTCAGTAAAACAAGAAGCCTATGAAGTGAATGGGAACACCTTTGAGGAATTGCTTCTCCCAAACCAAGTTCAGAATGTGAGAAGGGACAGGAAATATGAACAAATGGAAACAGATAACCCATGGAGGAAGTGGGAAAGAGGGCTGTTACATTGAGGGGACTGAACGTAATGCCACAGAACAAAATGTGTAAAAGGGTTGAGACCTAATTTTCTCGAGAATTTTGCCCAAATCACAATATAAGTGATTTAACAACACATTAAGAAAAAGTTTTACCTTTATTTGGGCCTTTGGGGGTAGGGGCTCTGTCTCTGTAGCTCACAAATTGCCTTATTTCTGAGGATGGACACAGTTTGGACATGCCCTCCCTCCATACTTCCTTTTCCTATCTAAGTACAAGGCAACCCATTCTTCAATTTGCACCATTCTTCTCCCTTAGCCCTGTTGCTGTTAGTTTTCATTGACTCCATTTCAACTCATCGTGGCCCTGTGTGCAGCTCCATACAGTTTTCTAGGGTGAAATCTTTTATGACAGCAGTTTGCCAGATCTTTCTCTGGGGGAGTGAAAACACCAACCTTTCGATCGGTAGCCAAGTGCTTAACCATCGTGCTTACCAGCCTGCAAGCTAGGAAGGGCTTGCAGTTTCAAACCTTTTGAAGGTTTTGTGTGATAAAGAGTTCAAATTTCTGTGCACACTCTACAAGACCCTTCACTGACTCACCCACCCTACTTTATCAATCTCACCTCCTACACATCACCCCATAGCTTTCAAACTTCTAAACCTTGGCATGTGCTTATACCCTCTTTCTGATTGCTCTTAATTCATCGGGCATACATAAACACCTACTGGGGTCAAGCATGCAAGTAGCTGTTCTAGTTATTAGGTGCTGTTGGCTCAGATATAACTCCTCGGTACACCTCATGTACAAAAGAAGGAAACACTGCCCAGTCCTGTGCTGTCCTGGTAAGCACTGCCATTTCAGCCCACTGTTGCAGCCACTGTGTCAATGAATCTCATTAATGACTCTCTACAGAGCATGATGTCCTTCTCCAGGGGCTAGTCCCTCTGGATACCATGTCTAATTAATGTGAGCATTCTGGTTATACTACTTAGACATAAGAAACATTCTGGCTATACTTTCAACGCAGATTTGGTCCTTCTGGAAGTCGGTGGTACATTCACTATTCTCCAACATCAATTCTTCTTCAGATTTCCTTATTCATGGTTCAGCTTTTACATGGATACTAGCTTGGGTTAAGTGAGTGCACCTTTGTCCTTCCTCAAAAGGACATCTTTGCTTTTTAACACTTTAAAGAAGTCTTCATCACCACCTTCTAACAGTTATACATTCTAATGCACTATGAGAACTCAGCGTGAAGGGGAAGAATGATTTTCTCTGAGAGACTTAGCTAGAGGAAGAGAAAAAAGGTGAATCTACCACAGGAAATGATATTTGAGCAGGTTCTTGAATGATTAGGAGTTTGACAATCAAAGAAGGGAAATTCATTCTCTCTTACTGTCATATATCAACCACATAGGACAGAGCAGAACTGCCATTATAGGTTTCCAAGACTAAATCTTTTGGGCAGTAGAAAACCTCATCTTTCCCTCAGGGAGTGGCTAGTGGTATTGAACTACTGACTTTGCAGTTAGCAGTCCAACTAGTAACCTACTGTATTAGTCTAGGTACTTTAGAGAAACAAATCCACAGCAACTCATTTATAAGAGAGTTTTATGTAAAGA